TTCAGGTCAGAGACTTCACTCTTCCTGGTTAAATTAAACAATATGTCAGGACTCGAAGTAAAGATATCTAGAGCTAGAGGACGAAATAATCAACAACATGGACAGAAGAGAATTGTAATACAAATAACGAAGTCACATTTGAAGTAAAAATAAATAAATAAAAAAGGGCAGAAATAGCTAATGCACCAACTCAATGAAGCTAACATAACTCCTTTCCTTATTCCAGAAACAAGTTTCTGAAATGGAAAAGATAACGCATCGTTGATGAATCTGCAAGACAATAAACTCTGTCCTGTAGCTCGGTGTATATAGAACTTAAGTTATATCACACGAGTACAGTAGTTTTCACATTGTACGCCAAATTGGACAAAACTCAACGGCATTGGATCTTAAATGTTCAGGATAACCTAGCGAAAGTTAGTAATGTGAGTATTCAAATAATTGAAGGCGTCTTGCAAGATAAAACCAAAATACACGAAACTTCGTGTTTGACAAAAACCAAAGGGCGGAAATTGCTATGCAATTGCTTCCGTATATGAGTCCAAATTGAAATTGCAAATCATTCAAATAGAGAAGAAAAAAAAACACACATACGCAAACAAGGAAGATGAAGAGATTTGGGAACTGACCCGGATGGTTGCGACGGTGAGGGAGATCGCTGAGACTGCGGTTGTGGTGGAGCCATGGCCACTGGAAGTTGACTACAACAAACACAGGGTTAGATCGCCTCTTCTTCAGAGAAAGTAAGATCTGAATGAAGACGGAAGAATGATAGCTAATTGTAGTTGCAGTGCTGGTGGAGCTTGTAAATTTTAACAACAATGGAGTTCCAATTTTTTTTTTTTTTTTAGTACAGAATGGAGTTCCAATTTGGTAACATGTAATTTAGAAAGAGGAGCTTGCGAAATTACAATTTTATTTTATTTTTTGTAAAACGAAATTACAATTTTTTTTTTTTGTAAAACGAAATTACAATTTTTCGTGTACTATATATTAATGGATTATTCATTCAAAATAATAATAATAATAATAAAACCTGCTATCACTTTCGACGTATGAGAAGCTGAAGTGGCAAGATCTGATTGCCTCTATCTATTTGCGTTTCGTTTTTTTGCAACGATCTATTTGCGTTTCTAAGACATGTTTCCTGAGAGAGAGAAAACAAAAGGCACTCATATTAAAAAAAAATATCAGCTTTCGTTATTCGGGTTATTGAGATTTTTTTTAATATAATAATGAAAATAAACACATAAATTAATATAAATTACTCAAATCCCTTTATCACTAAATCAAATTCGATGTCGTAGTTATTGAAATTCTTGAATATGTTTATTAACATCTTTTTTTATTTAAGTTAGTTTTTACCATTTTAGTTCTGAAAAATCCAAGCAAAATATATGTATCTCAAATTTGAGATCTAAATATTGGCTGATGCATGACAACGTGTAAGTGATAACGGGAATACACTTTAATCCCGTCAACTCCATTTCCAATATAACAACCAGGAGCAACTGCTAAGGTTCCATTATAACATGTTCAATTGAAAAATAATCCACATCAATTTTCATGTTTTGTAATCAAATTAGTTGAGAACTTCACATACATGGAGTTGCGAAAGCTTAATATACCAAAAATAAATTATTTAATTTGTTTTAAGAAAAAAATAGTAAAATATCTCGAAAGTTTTGGTTAAAAGTTTATTCAGATAAAATAACTTAAACATAATTACAATCTTATAAATTATGATATAGACTTATATTTAAACTTTAATAATTATACAATTCAATTTTATTTTGTTTATTTATAATAATATTTAAATATATACTTTTAATTTTATGTACATAATTTAAATAAAAAAGATTATTATATTTGTTTTAACATATCAAATGGATTTTTGTAAGACAGAAAACTTTTATATTATTACACTTTTATTTTAAAAATAATTTTCTAACTCAGTTTTAATTATATTTAAATACCTTTTATCTAAAATATATCAAGCAATTATAATATAAGAAAATAAATATAAATAGAATGAAAAAAATATTGAAGTAACTATAATATTTTGAACTGGCTAGATTGTCATGCCCAACCAACTCATATTGCCTTCTACCTAGCAAGTCTACTATTACTTAACACGTGAAACACATGGCTTATTTGTACACGTGTTTCCTCATATCTCCCATGCACGCATTATCTTTTATATATTACGTGTCACACGGTCTTATATTTAGTGAAATTTATAGAGTTGAAAATAATCATGGCATTACATTTTGCGCATTTATAGAAAATCTCTAACACCTCTAGCATCTAGTGAGGCTCACATAAAGTTGTAAATGGTTATGATATGATACTTTGTGCACTTGAAGGGAATCTCTATCAACATATATATGGTGTGACTTTGGCCGTCTCATTTCTCCATCTACATTTGATTGCTATTATTGTTACTATGTTAAAATCTCTCCTTAAGTCATGGCTTTGTTTGGGAGTTTGGAGGGGAAGGGAAGGAAGGGGATCCAAGGGGGAGGGAGGGGAAGAAAGAGGAGGAAATTGGAGGGTTTCTTCTTCCCTTGTTTGGGAGTAAAAAAAAGGATGAGAGGATAATGGAGAGTCAATGAGATATTTTTACCATTTTACCCTTTTTTTAGAATTAATATAATTATTATACTTTACAAATTAAATTAAATTAAATTTAAAATTTCTAAAAAAATTATTTATGTACTTTTCACAACACCAAAAAAGATTATATTTTTGATGAAATTTCTACGTTGCAAACGATGAATCGTCGGAATACTTTTCGTCGAAAAGCGACGGAATTTTTCAACCGATGAAAATTTTTACAAAAATAATCAAAAGTTTTGTTGAAAATGATTTCCTCCATCAGATGCTTTAAACATAAAAGAATTCTTTCAAACATTTTGACGGAACATTTTTCGTTCAAAATTTCGATGGAAATGTGTTCTGATGAAAATTTTGACAGAAATTGTTTTGTTAGAAATTTTGAGGGAAATGTTTCATTCAAACTTTCAACGAAATTTAGATTTTGTAAAGAATTTTGACAGAATATTTTTTCCGTCAAAATATTTTCCGTCAAAAATTTTTACGAAATAATTTTTTGTTGAAATTTTTTGACAGAAATGTGTTCCGTTGAAAATTTTGATTGAAATATTTTTTATCAAAAAATTTGACGGAAATATTTTTCGTCGAAAATTTTCGTGGGAAATATATTTCGTTAAAAATTCCGACAAAATTTTTTTTTGCCAAAAATTTTAACGAAAATATTTCCGTCGAAAACTTTCGGTCAAATTTAAATTGTGTTAAGAATTTTGATGACATTTTTTTCGTCAACAATTTTCGATAGAAATGTGTTTCGTTAAAAATTTTGATGGAAATATTTTTCGTCAAAAATTTCGATGAATATCTTTTTTTGTGAAATATTTTGGAAAACTTTAGATTGCGTAAAGAATTGTAACAAAAAAAAAAAAATTCATCAAATTTTTTTACATAAATAACTTTTGTCACAAATTTTGATGGAAATATTTTTCGCAAAATTTCGATGGAAATATTTTTCGTAAAAAATTTTGACGTAATTGTTTTACGTCAAAACTTTTTGATGGAAATGTGTTTCATCAAAATTTTGGACGAAAATATTTTCGTTAAAAGTTTCGACAGAATTTAGATTCTATCAATAATTTTGACTGGATTTTTTTTTTCGTACAAAATTTATGTTAGTGATTGTGGCAAAATCTGGTTCCGTCTCTAATTTTGTCTTTAGTTTTGACGAAAAATTTTTGACGTATATGATTTTCATCAAAAATTTCATCACTAACTTTTATGAAATATTTTTCGTCAATAAATTCTGTCGGTATTTGAGACTTTTCTAATAATATCGCATTTAAAAATGATTCACAATTATGTAGTTTTAACATTTTAATGCTAAGGGTAAAAAAATAATTTTTAACAATTTTCCCCTCAAACCCTCCAAATTGGGGGAACTTTAATTTTAAGAAGAATGAAGGTTTTGGAGGGTTTAGTAAAATTCATTAAACTCTTCCCCTCCTTTTTTTAAACTCACAAACAAGGGAAGGGCTTTCTAAAACCCTCCATTCTTTTTCCTTCCCCTCCTAAAATCAACTCCCAAACAAAGCCTTAGAGTTTTGTTCTATACCACTATTTTTCTTGTCTCTATTAGATCAACATATTTTACCAAACGGAAACATATCTATACTTTGGTACTCTGATCAATTTAATAATTAAAAAAATTAATATTTTTAAAAGGCAACATAATAATTATAGTAGCTAGACTTTTATATTTCGTAATTATAATAAATGCATAGATGGTTAATAATAGATAAACAGATTAATTCCGCAATTTCCTCTTGCTCATACTTCTTCGATTTAAACAGCAGCATGAGGAAAATAAACTCCCTTTGGTCCTATTACTTTCTCACTCATAAAATAATTCGAGAGAGCCTGCTAATTAAAAGAACAAAGTAATAGGATAGTTAATAGTATCTGTTTCATAGAATTACAGACGGATCGTGATTGGTGATTAATGTGGATTGCCGATATTTATGAAGTAGATCGGGTCAAAAGGTTATAAAGCCAACGAAAATGGTATATATGTATATAACAATAAAGAGATAGGAGGTTTGAGTGTATAATTGTGAAATTTTTCATTTTATTTTAGAAAAAATTTACCATTATAAGGTCCGTAACAGTATCTTAAAATTAAGGGGTTATCATTTTTATTTATTTTTTGGAGACAGGGATTATTATTTTTGGAGAAGTGGCAGAAAAATAATATCTGTGACTGTCACTGACACAAAAAATTGGATCTATTAAATTAAAAAAAAAAACATGAAAATCAATGTAAGAGAAATCGCATATATCATTTCTGCCGCGGACGCTGAAATGATATTCCTAAAATTAATCTCATAACAATATCTCCATGTAAATCAAATTATCTTGCTGAGATATTTCCCTAGTCTGTCACCGACCAGTGAGGCTTGCCTCTACAGTACAGTCTTCAGCCATTCTCTATTCTGTGCGGGATAATAAAAAGAGGGAGATGGTTGTTCTTCACATCCCAAGGTTCCCTTTTCCCATTTTAACCTCAACTCCTTCACTCTCTCTTCTTGCTTCTAGAAATATCTTTTTATATGCACCAAAATCCACTCTCACCACCTCAGAGTCAGAACCCATTACCATAACCCCTTTCCCCCCTGTAGAGTTGTCCCTCGAGAAGCTCTTTGTTCCACCGGAGACTCAAGTATCTCTCGACAGTGCCAGAATCTTGAAAGGTTCCAACATATTGCTGAGTAACTACGCCACTGATGCTCAGGTCTCGCAAGCCGATTTTGTCAAAAGCAGCGTGAGAACCGAAGATTGCCCCTCCGATGGCCTCCCTGAGTTCGCTCTCGTTGGACGCTCCAACGTCGGCAAATCATCGCTCCTCAATTCCCTCGTGCGCCGCAAGAAGCTCGCCTTAACTTCAAAGAAACCTGGTTAGTCATTATGCTTTATGTTACTTCCATTATTAATTTCTGCTATTTGAAATTAACATATTTCATTTGAGATTTATGTATGTTTAGGCATTTACTAATAACATATTTAACCCTGCTCTTGAGACATAATGAAGAAATTCAATGGATTTTTAACGTATTGGTAATTGGCTTTTTCTGTGCTCTATGCGTTCATTGACAGTGTTAAACCGTCTATTTTCAAATTTTTTTGTAGGCAAGACACAATGCATTAACCATTTTCGGATTAATGATAGCTGGTATCTGGTTGATTTGCCTGGATATGGGTAGGTGTATTACTATATATACTCAGTTCCACTGTGCTCTCAAAGTCTTACTTTATTATACTACTTGTTAATGGTTGCAAAAAGTGATTTATATATTTGATATGGACAGACTAGTATATTGTGCAAATCTTATTTATGAAATTTGAGTGTCAGTATTTTTACATCTCTTAGGTTGATAGATTAATTACGCAATATTGGAAATGATTTTATATGGTGTTGTCTTCTGATTTTTATAAACATTTTTCCGTGCTACTTTATCTACTTTAGTTCTTGAAAAGCTCAAGTTCTGCTATGACATTTTATTTATCTTTAGGTCCTTTAAAAAAAAAAAAATATATATATATATATATATATATATATAGTTTGTGCTTTTTTTTTAGGACAACTACTGATGAATGATTTAATCCTGTTCACTATTATTCTTATAGGCAATGACAATTATATGTCATTTTGTTATCTTCAATAGGTATGCAGCAGCGCCGCAGGAGCTTAGAGTAGATTGGGGAAAATTCACAAAGGACTATTTCCTTAACCGGTCAACCTTAGTTTCGGTTTTCCTTCTAATAGATGCTAGCATTCCTGCTAAAAAAATTGATCTTGATTATGCCAGTTGGTTGGGTCAGAATCAGGTACCGTATCGATTTTTCTTCAGTAGCAAACATTTTAATGAAGCTACATGCTTTATGTTTCCTATAAATCCTGCATTTGCTACCTGATGGTCATGACTTGACTTGTATAGATTTGTCTGGTTCATCTTTGTCTTCCTATCTTTACCTGTCTAGTTTCAGCCACAGACTACATATTTCTATATAGAATTTGATGGAACTGGTATTTCTATTAATGAAGAAAACTGAGGAGACTAGCTCCTTACAGCAACACAGATACTAAAAATTGAAATGCATAAACAGAAAATTGCAGAAAAGAACAATACTAGAGGTCTGCCGACTCAGAGCCTCTATCCATCCCTCTCCTAACCTTTACTCAATTCATGCCTACCATTCACTCCCCATCCATCTCTTTTATTTTCTCATTTATCCCTAATTGAATTCCCCCACCTCCCACTCTTCCTTGCCAGCTCAGCATCCAGTTATCCTCTAGACTTAACAACCTGAATATTCCCTTTATTTTCTATTTTGTCCTTCTCAGCCTTGTGTGTTTATCATTCTTTTCTCATCCCTTTTCTTGTTGCATACGGCTCAGTAAAGGGGTCTATCAGAATTCCTTATAAATAATAGTTGATTAGCACATCTGAGTTACTGCCACTGAGCTCTTCATCTTTATATCCTGTAGATATTGTGCACGTAAGAAGTGTCATACTGAGAATATTACACTTCAGTTATGGAAACTTAAATCGCTGAAATGTTCTTAATTTCATGACACCTATAAAAGAGATGGTTTTGCTCAGCTAGAACTCATTTATAATAGGACAAATAAAATACAGTTACAACTTGTACTAGGAACTCATCTATTTGAGGACAAAATAAGAATACAGTTACATCGGTCATTGCAATTTAAATGTCATTATGAACCGAGGTCAATAAAGGCCTTGAAGAAAATTTGATGTAGAGATTCTACAGAAGAGCCCATTCCTAAATACCAGGCTGTTAAGAGCAGATAGCCTCTATTTAAATAGGAGCTGTGTCTTATATCACGCTCGGCCAATATTGGATTCACACTCCTATGTCAATCACGTTGTATTGATAGGAGCGGTCCATCTACGCCAAGATGGACAACCGGCCACTTGATGTAGAGGAGAGTGCACTCCTAAAGGCCAGGCATAAAGGCAGGGAGAGCCTCTTGCTCTGTACTTTAAATGGGAGCTTAATAAAGTAGTTCATGTCTCACACCTAGCCAAAATGGGACTTGCACTCCTGGGTCAAAAGTTAACAGAGCAGAGATAAACATTTCTTTTGGTAATAAGAGCAGGATTAATATATTTTTTCTTTCAGATCCCAATGACATTAATCTTCACCAAATGTGACAAGCGGAAGAAGAAGAAAAATGGAGGCAAGAGACCAGAAGAAAATGTTAATGATTTTCAGGACTTGATACGTGGCTTCTTCCAAACAGTGCCTCCTTGGATCATGACCAGTAGTGTCACCAATCAGGGTCGTGATGAGATACTCCTGCATATGGCCCAGCTCCGGAACTACTGGCTCAAGCACTAGTTTCGAGAAACATGGCATCCCGTTGTTAGACTATCCTAAATAGCATGTACGTCAATCTGGAATCCTTAAGTGTCTATAGATTTGAATTGCTTTATGTTTTTTCTTCTTGGTGCCGACTAGTAGGGGACTTTATATATTTCTCCTGCACCTGCAGATGATTCAAGTTCTAAATACGTCTAATTTTTCATGTTTATAGTAATAGAGAAATGGGTTTAAATTGATTAACAATTTTTGTAGTCTCAAATGAAATGCATTTTTATGGCCACCAAAATATCATGTCATATTTCATATTTATCGTTTCAGATACACGTTTCCAGATAGACTTGTCTGATTATCAGCTTATTTGGTTATCAATTTATCTTTATTCCATGTGCGATTTCTGTATTGCCCAAGTACCTACAGGGCCTAAAGCAAGTGACATGAAAGCTGGATAAATAAATTCCTTTAGATCTACGCTTGATACTTTACCATTTATTGTGTGCTTTGGACTTTACAAGTGGCTGTTATCACCTGAAAAGTAGAAATGATATTTGCACTCTATTACTTCTGATATTTTAAACCACCTTATTATCAATGTAATAATATCCATTATATAATATAAGGTTTCTGAGTTTATTCTCTCCCCCGAAGTATCACTTTATGGAAAACGATTAGTGACGGTAAACCTTCATAATACCCTTACTTTTTCAGGCACCCTGCATATACACACCCCTGCAAGGAGAGCGGCCGGAAAGCAACATCCATGTTAAAAACTTTTAGCATTTTTCTCTTTGGACGACAGTGACAAGAATTAGATATCAGATATCATTCGTTAATTTATGTACTTTTCAAATCTATCAGTAATTCTTGATTTTCCTTTGTTCTTTATATTTTAACGCATCCCAGACATACACTGACAACACTAGCACATACATGACTATTAACCATATAATTTAGGCACGTGGAGCAGCGGTGGTGAGTGGTGACACTTAATTTGTACTAGTCTTTGTAAAGGGCCTAACGTATCGTAAATATGGACAACGAAACCTGTTCTTCCAAGATGATCCTAAACCATATGGCTGTTTCAATTTTGTGTTTTTGTTATATGGGCTGCTCCAACAACTTTCCTTGGTCTATACACGAAGTTGACACTATGAAAAAGTTCTGATAAAGCCTTGAGCCCGGGCCTTGTATTACCCTTTTGGCTCGTGCATACGGTAATGTGAAATAGCTTCTGTTAATGGAATTGTTAATGTAGATTTTAGAAGTGGACACCTTTCTGTTGGAGTCCTTTAGAAGATTGGATAAATGATAATCTGAAAACTGATAGTACAAATAACAGAAGCTGGTGTCTCCTCTTTGGCATGACTTGTTGGAGCCTATGGAGGGAAAGAAATGATTTTATTTTCAATGGGGTGAAACCAGATACTCAGAGGAGCACAAGAAGCATTCTCGGTCACTATGAGAACTATATTGCTGCCAAAGACTTAATGCTGAAAGGAGGGCTACAGCAAAATGCAACCCAAAACCAAGTGATCAAATGAAATCCTCCTTTGGCTGGATGGATGAAAGTGAATGTTGATGGAGCTAGTTCAAATGGCAACCTTAAATCCGGTTGTGGTGGGGTGATAAGGATTTGGAATGGAGATTGGGAAATAGGTTTTACAAAAAATCTGGGGCAAGGAAATTCTTTCAGAGCAGAACTATGGAGCTTTTTCTTGGGACTCACTGTTGCTTGGGATCAAGGATTCAGAAGCATCATTATCGAAGGAGACTCTATCCAAGTCCTGAATTTTATAGAGCAAGATGGTCAGCTGGATCATCCACTAGCTCACATTGGAAACAAAGTTTGTGATCTCCTTGGAAGAGACTGGATAGTGCAGATCAAGCACACGCTTAGAGAAGGAAACGCTATCGCTGATTGGATGGCACATAAAACTTCATCTAACGAAAATAATGTTCAGTTGTTTTTTAACCCACCTATGGGATGTAGTAACATACTTTGTAATGATATTATGGGTGTTGGGACCCCAGAGTAGCTCGTTAGCTGCTCTTTGTTCTTGTTTTTTCCAAAAAAAAAAAAAAAAAACTCCCATTTGGCCGGTAACAGATCATAATTTTCATTTAAGCGCCAACCATTTTTTTTATAACTGGGAGGTAGTTATTCATAGATGTTGTATTGCAGAACAAGGACTAAAATGTCACTGTTCACCAAATTTTTTACTTAAATGCCACGTGAACAGTGTTATTTTTCAATCTGTCACGGGGGCAAGTTCGCTACCCGGTATAACGAACTCGGTTTGCTGATATGTCACGTTTCTAGTAGACACCAAGTTCGCTACATGGGGTAGCGAACTCCATACCTTTTTTTTTTTTTTGAGTAAATACCCTTTTTGGTCCTCAACAAATTTCACGATGCCCGTTTTAGTCCCTAGCAAATAAAAAGGCCCATCGTGGTTCCTAAGAAATTCAAAATGGACCCTTTTAGTTGAAATCGTAGTCTCTCACAAATTAAAATAAAATCCATATTAGTCCTCAAAAGAACTAAAATGGGTCCATTTTGAATTTCTTAGGGACCGCGATGAGCCTTTTTATTTGTTAGGGACTAAAACGGGTATCGTTAAATTTGCTGAGGATCAAAAATGGTATTTACTTTCTTTTTTTAAATTTAATACTTGTTATCCACTAGAAATGTGACACGTCAGCAAACCGAGTTCGCTACACCGAGTAGCGAACTTGCCCCCATAACAGATTGAAAAATAATACTATTTGCATGACATTTAAGTAAAAAATTGGTCAAAAGCTTATTTTGGTCGGTGTTCCTTCTATTGCGAGGTGAAAAACCCACTCTAAGTAATATAGATAAATAATGTTGCTGAAAAGGCCTAAGAGCCTATAGGAAGTGAGATAGGGAGGTACTCTTTTTTTTTTATACAGATAGGGAGTTACTCTTGAGTACTATATGTGAGCCTAATGCCAAGAGTTCGAATCCTGCTATTGGGCTAGCTTGGTTTTTTTTTTTTTTTGTGTGATATCAGCTAGCTTGGTTTTGGTTACGCTGCCAACTTCAAGATTTTCAATGGCATGTTATAAAACACTTTCTCAAGCTTATAAATTTGTTTTTGTACCTTAAATGTGACTTTAAACATATTTGTTCTAAAACCCACACTACTTAATTTGATAATCTCATAAATTCAATCTGCGTTTAAGTGAGTAGAATCAGATATTACAATTTTAAAAAAATAAATAATTGGACAAACGGGAGATTTTTCCATTATAAGAATGAATTCCCTCAAAGCGCATTACCTATGCACAAAATTTTATTTCCTAATCTTATGAAGGGTTCATTTTTTCTGTCGTATAGATAAGTTATTTGTATTGAATTCGAAATGATATTATTTTGAGTAGAAAATTAAATGTTTTTATAATTATAATTTATTTTAAAATTATTACAGTCTTTATTATTATAATTTTTTAATCTTTCAACATAAAATAATATTATTTTAAAATAAATATAAATAACTTGTCGTAGAAACATCAAATCTTTTTATAAATATTAAAACGGGTTAAACATGATGTGCTATTTTAATTACATAAGGTGATCGTCACTTGAATTGTTTTTTTACCAATCCAAAATCCATTTTTGCCCTGCATTTAATCACCTAACAGTCTTGTTTTTAAGGGTTAAATTGTCTTTTAACCTAATTTGTAATCTGACTAGCTCTACACGCTCACTCCCTGCGTCAAACCATCGAAAAAAAACCTAAACTCACTCGACCAGCAGCGCCCACTTCCGGTGAACGGCGAACGGAGACCATCGACGATTCTCTCTGCTTTAGGTTCTCTCCGTTATCTTTTCTTTTTCTTTTTTGGTAAATTTTTCTCTCTGTTTTCTACAAGTCTCTGTTTTTGCTTAACATTGATTTGGAGTTCGAACACTGGTATTATGTCATGCAAGTATCTAAAGTTATATGGATTTTTTTCACAAAAATTCTGAGTACTCTAACATAATAAGAGTGAAGACAGCTTCGTGACATTTTTGAAAGCTGAAGCAAAAGGTATTTTATTTTTGCAAGAACAGACTCTGTTGAACATTGCTTTGTGATCCATATTTCTTTATTTTTCTCAATCCAATTCTGTTCAAATCCAAGTCTGTTGAACTGATTCTGTTCAACTTTTTTTTTTTGTATTCAAATTATTTTTTATTCCAATTTTGTTGATCCACATTAATAGTTTTTAGATAATTAGATCCTTTTAATCATGAATGAATGTCTTAATTTTTTAGCATTCATATGTGTGCTATGTGTGATATATGTATAAAGCAAGTTCATGCATAGGACTCCTTTTAATTATACCGCAACCCGCATTTGATAACTATGGTTATGTTTTTTGAGATTTTCTTTTTCTTTTTTTAATTTTGACGATTTAATGGATATCTATGAATACCATGGGTACCCGTCAAACCTGCAGGGGAATCAGGGGCGGGTACCAGTGCGGGTATGGGGTGGGGGCAGATTTTCCTTCATGGGGGTGGGGAACTACTACACACCCCTGCCTCGTCCTGTTGCCATTGTGTAGTTGCAACGTAAATTTCATTTCCTTAAACTCACAATGCAATTGCTTTGATTCTAGAATTTTGACGCAGAGAATAGAGAGGCATCAATCTGAATGGGTTATATTCAATATGGAAGACACAGTCTTAGGCAGATATTTAGATTTAGAAGTGCAACCGATATGGTCAGAAATTCCGTGATATCGCAGTTGAGGTGTGCAGGCACTACATTATCCTCCGATTCCCCATTTCTTGGGAAGAGTTTTTATTCTACTACTGCTGATGCCAGAATAGTGCAGGACCTTCTGGCTCAGGTGGAGAAGGATAGGCTCAGAGAGAAAAATGAGAGATTAAGGCTAGGTTTGGATACTGCCGACATTGATGCTGAGTGTGAAGAGGACTACATGGGCGTGGGCCCACTCATTAAGAAGCTTGAAAAGGAGAACCTCAAGAACCCCAGTGAATTGTACCGCTACGAAGAGGCAACTGATTCTGATAGTGAAGAAGAAGAAGAAAATGAAGACCTCCAGAAGAAGATCCATGATTTCGAGAGGAAATTCAAGAAGCACGAGGGTTTGCTCAAGAACTTCACTGATGCCGACACACTTGATGATGCTTTCAAGTGGATGAACAGAATTGACAAGTTTGAACAGAAGCATTTAAGGCTCCGTTTTGAGTACAGGGTTATTGGGGAGCTCATGAACCGCCTCAAAGTAGTAACTGAGCAAAAGGATAAGTTCATTCTGCAGCACAAACTTAATAGGGCCTTGAGATTGGTGCAGTGGAAGGAAGCTTATGATCCTGATAACCCTGCCAATTATGGCGTCATTCAACTTGAACAGGAGGAGCCTTCTGAGGATGCTCTGCAAAATGCTGGCTTTGAAAAGGAGAAGGGAACAGGAGATAATGCCGCTGTTGATGATGATGATGATGATGAGTTTGATGATATGAAAGAAAAAGACAACATATTACTGGCCAAACTTGATGCTATTGACAAGAAGCTTGAGCAGAAGCTAGCAGAACTTGAATATACATTTGGAAAGAAGGGTAAAGCTCTAGAGGAAGAGATCAGAGATCTTGCAGAGGAGAGAAATGAGTTAACTGAGAAGAAAAGAAGGCCTCTTTACCGGAAGGTAGTTACATACATGCCTAATTCTCTGATTTTGTCGTGGTGTTTTCGACCATATCATTGATTACCTTATTATGTGTAATACTCTCCATATTTTATGTTGAGTGAGGCTTCTCTAAGTGAGTTTATCACTAAAGTGAGCAAATAAGGGTGTATCAATCCTTGAATTTTAGTGGGTTAAGAACACAATGCACTTTAAATTAAACGAAGGGTGGATACACTCTTACTTGTTCACTTCAGAGACAAACTCACTTAATAGGTGCCTTATTATTTTACATCCAATCTTTAACCTCGGTGCAAAACTTTATTGGCGCCTTTCGTTTTACTTATTGGCCTAGCCACTTTTTCTATTATACTCCTCATAGAAAGAAGACTTCTTTATCTGTATGTACGTCTGTTAAAAGCGTGAATAAAAAATGTGAGACACATCCCTCCTCCACTCTTTGACTAACGAAGAAGAATTTCTTGGCCTATTAAACAAATTAATTGACTTATGGTATGTTTGGTTTTGGAATCATTTCCTGGAAGGAATTTAGATGGGATGATTTGATAGTGGAATAAAATAATATTCGTGATCAGTCCTGGTGAATGCAGAGCTCCTGTGTTTGAACAAGTAACAATATCAATAATTAAAAGAAGAAGGGGTGGGGGTGGGGTTACAATTTCAACTGGCTTCAGTCTTATTTATTTTATTGCCTTTTCTCCTTTTTAATAATATATTAAGTGAGCTGATTTTATTGTTAACTTTCCCATATACTTATTTTTGCTTTTTATAAAGCTGAGTTACAATTTTGTTTTTGTTTGGATTGTTGTATATTGTGCCAGGGTTTTGATGTAACATTGATAGATATGAACCGAACTTGTAAAGTCACAAAGGTATTCTACAAATTTGTTCTTGCTTCTCTGCTTTCATCCCCTCTCTGTTGTATGTTGTTAGTTTGTTAATTTGTTTTGAATCTCTTGATATAGGGAGGACAAGTTGTTAAGTACACTGCTATTATGGCTTGTGGAAACTTTAATGGTGTTGTCGGTTATGCAAAAGCCAAAGGCCCTGCAGTCCCAGTTGCTCTTCAGAAGGTATTGTCAAAATATTATTAGGTCTTTCAAGTTCTCCTTAAGGTGGTTTGGCAGTGGATTATTTCTAATCGTTCTGTGTTCAACTTCAATGTAGAAAAGTTTCACAATTTCATTACCCAACATATATATGTAGAGATATGGATTTACTTTTGTTTCCGTTCCTGGTAGTTTCAAGCTTATTAAAGTATTGATTTATGTCTGTTGTAACTTTTTTCCGTTGCCAGTTTTATTGGCACTGTATGTTAAATCAACATAGGTTGTGGTTAATCCTTGAGATATTTGGTCCATAATTGGTGGGAGGTGTTGGGATTAGTGACTGTGACTCCTGTTTTGTCATTAAAAAATGTTTGATTATAAAAATATGCTTTATGATCCCGTAAATCCACCAAATGTAACACCCCTTACTAGTATAGGAGTGTCATGCGTAATAACATATTACCTAATTAAATTCTGAAAAGTACACAGCAAAAAAATTCTTTAATTTTCTTGTACAACATATAATATACATAAAGCAGTGTTACATCAGTGGTATTTCGATATGCTGAAGTTCATGCCAATACATATTGGTCTACAACCTCCAAACAGCAAATAATTACAACTGGATATGCATATAGGACATTACAGCACACATTATAATTAAATTACAGTCGACTACTTGAAGCCATATGGCTCCTTCCACCTGTTAGATGGGCATTTCAGATGGGCATTTCAGTCTTCCGTAGGGTCTCTTCCCTGGAGAGGTCAGAGAAAAAAAACAGTAATGAGAATAACATTTTCACTAGTTTTGAGGACCTCATTCAGCTGTAATTACTCACAAAAAATACACCCTTTTATATTTTGATCTCTAACATATACAATAACTTATAAATATGCAGCGCGCACACACACACATTGCTTACGTTTCTATTCTACATTACTGACCTTGGCCATTGCTTTCATTTGTTTTGGACATTACTGACCTTGGCTAGCACTTCCTTTCTATTAAACATTATTGACCTTGGCCAGCACTTTCTTTCTATTAAGCATTACTGACCTGTGATAAGCCCACTGAACTAAGGTCCGGATATTTTTGTTATTCATGGGATCCAAGGATCCTCATGGCATGGAGAGACACTCTTGCTCCATTTCTGAGCTCAAACCACACATATAGCGCAATCCTACCGTGAAAATATGTAAGCACTGACCAAGGGGCAGTAATGCTTGATAGAAAGATACTATTAAACATTACATATCTTATTCATTAAACACAAATTTCTTTCAATTTTTTTCTGTTTCAACTAGCTCGATACTAATTCTATTAACATATCTGGTTCTGGTTTGATTATTTTAAATATTATCCAAATAATTTCCATTTTTCTTTTTTTATTGTTCATAACTCTTGAGTTGCCAAATGTGTGTTTTGTATTGTTTTCTAACTGAAAACCGAATTCCGTCAGGTGTTATTGTCGATTTTCAACTAACTATGTAATTTATTATTTTTCTTAAAGTATTTGATTGGATTGTTAAAACACTAGGTGCATTTAATTTTCCAGGCTATAGTCTGAAATCCGATTTTGAATAATGTTTTAAATTTCGTTGACATTGTATGCTGTCTAGTATTAACCTTCAAAATATTGCTAAAACACCAAGTATCAGCATAAAAGTACTTATATTTTTTACTTCAAAAGAAAAACCTATGTGCATTATGTTTATTGCAGTTTAATGTTTTGACTTTTGATAGCATATTGAATTAATGGCTGATTTGACTACAATCAGGCATATGAGAAATGCTTTCAGAATTTGCATTATGTAGAGCGACATGAGGAGCATACAATTGCACATGCAGTACAAACGTCTTATAAAAAGACTAAGGTAGCCAATTCTTTATCCTTCTTCTAGTATTACTTCCCCCATTTATCTCATGAAATTTCGCCTTCTATAAAAATAATTGCATGTGTTTTTTGTTTTACTTGTCTTCAATGAATAATGATTGAGTTTGTACTGCCTATATTTATTCTGTATATCGTATTATAGATTTCATGCCATCCGTGCATTATACCATAGGTATATCTCTGGCCTGCTCCCACTACAACTGGCATGAAAGCTGGCAGAATAGTCCAAATCATTCTGCATTTAGCTGGTTTTAAGAATGTCAAGTCCAAGGTAACTGATCGCCCAATAAAATCAGTGTATTGAAGATGGTCCTACAATTTTTGTGTTTGCTCTGAGTTTTATTGTCTTTGATAGGTCGTTGGTTCCAGAAATCCTCATAATACAGTTAAGGCTGTCTTCAAAGCACTTAATGCGGTTAGTTAACTCTTCTTGCTGATGTTGCAATGCAAATATTTCAAATAGCTTTTTACTGTAATATTTTATGTGGCATTTCTTGTTTCTCCCAGATTGAAACGCCAAGGGATGTCCAAGAGAAGTTTGGCCGGACTGTTGTTGAGAAGTATCTGTTGTGATGGACATGGTGATATGCTGAGTTCAGTTCTCCTGGATGTCTTCCATTGAATCTCTTCTTGTCCTTCTTTTCATGTTTTAGTTTATTATTATTATTATTATTATTATCTCTTAGCAAGGAGAATTGGAAGATAGTATCCTGAATGCATTACTTGTGTGAACATTAGGTATGGAATTCTACCTGTATTTAACTTTTCATTCGTAAACGCAAAAGGAACAACAATTTTGGTAGGTTCCTTTTGCATTTTGCTCACACGCCTTCTTTTTCTTAAACGCAATATTTTATGCACTAGGTAGGATTATATCGAAATTATTTAAATTAATATACAATTTGGAGTAAAAATTCATTAGAAGCATTATAAAATACATTAGAAGTACCACTCGGGGAGAGATGAGAAGGGTGGAGCAGGGTCTTGTCATGAAAACAAAAATATAGCTTACAGAAATGTTACAACCACAGACCTTTCCCTTTATACGCTATACTTTTGCTTTTTTCTGCCCTCATTGTTTTGTTCAAGTGTTTATTTGAAGGGAAGCGGTTGGGCCACTTAAAATTTTCTGCCTCCAACGGTCTGGTGTTAATAGAACAGTTAGTAATGTGAACAGATGCGCACTGCGAGTAATAGACGCTGCGAAAACATTTGAAAACCCAGCTCATCCTTATTGTCACGCCCGCAAAGCACTGTTTTTTGTTTGTGTCTAGATGTATATTCTGTTTCTATTTTTCTGCTTGTTGGTTTTGAAGTGTGTTCGGGATCATCCCAAATCCCGCTTTGACCCGAGAAATGACTTTGGTCTTCCCACTTAATAGGACCTCGCTGGCCAGGGGCTAAACCTGACAGTCCGGGGACATGGGATTGCACCCATGACGTAACCTTTCAGAACAGTACCTATGATCACCACTTTAGGGTTAACTACTCTATGGCCACTCCACACCACCATAACGGTTCCGAAAGGCTGTATATATACTGCTATAGTATCTATGGAGAGGCAGAACAGTTCATATTGCTCACCCTTGCAATCTAATATCCTAAAACTTTCACCACTCAAAATTACACACACACCTCTTTACTGTTTATCCGTTGGACATTGGCTAGAGGTGTTGGACCCATCATTGCTAATTATGTCTTCCACTTGCTCTGTTCCATAGAATACAATTACTAACTTTTATGCTGGACATTGATATTTACCCCAAACAAAGTGTTTATTTGAGGAAAAGCGGCTTACCCTCTTGTAATTTTCGGTTTCCCACAACCGCGTTTGGACTGGTCATAGAAATAGTTACACAATAGAAATGGTGGAAAAAGATAAGAGGTTGTTTTAATTTAAATATTAAATAAAAAAAAACTATTTTAACTAAAATTATTGTCGTTTATAAATATTTTTCTCATGTTTTTAATATGTATATTTACACATTTCATTCATTTTTAAATTTAAAAGTTGAATTGTTGTAATCGTCTTATTCATCTGTAAAGGTTTTTTATCGATGAATTTCTAAAAAAAAAAAAAACTCTAATTTTACTATAATAAAAAAAAATTAAATCAGAAGAATTCCCTGATAATTTTTATCTTGATATTTGAATACAAATTTCAAATCAACTGTGATCTATTCCGCATTAATTTTTTTTACAAATTCTAAAAAATAAATACATATATACCATTTTAAATTTAATAAAATTTAAATTGAATAAAAATAAATATCTTGTTATGAAACGAATAAAACTCTCCGCATATTTTCCTAATATTTCTCCTCTTCGTCATTTATCCGTTCTCTCTTAATTCTTCTCTCATTTTCTCACTTCTGGTTACTTTCTATTTTCCAAAATACTTTTGCATTTCATTTTCTATGCAACGCTTAACTAGGTAAATATAAACCTAAAATGTAGAAAATAAAAAGCATGTTTATATACGAAAATTAAAGGAATCTATCTAAAATCAAGGAAATAAATCCTACCGATTACCATTAATTGTTTTTTAGCGTAAATACGGATACAGACAGAGGCCATGGCAACTAGGAAATATGCGACCCATGTCAAATGATATCAAGATTCAGCAGCACTTGAAATCGACATTTAAATGCGACGATGATGAGTAAAAACAATAGAAGGTTTATCAAATAATCCAACACATAAGCTTATTAATTAATGAAATTAAAACAGAGATAATTTTGCAATGAAAACAGCCTTATCAATCTCCAAAAAGGAGACAAACATCTTAACCCGTTCACAAGTTCCTGATATTAATATAGATGGAAAAACTGCGAGCTTTAATCTGAATCACCTTTAACAAAATTCATTTGATAAGAAATTAGAAATAAGGAACGCAACATAATTTATGTTACTACTAATGAATTTCCCAAAAACACTTAAGATTTAAAAGTGAAAAAAACTCAATATGTAATGATTCAAATCTCGTTACAGGAATCTCATAAACTCGATCAAAACAAAACATACAAAATCACCCTTCAAATTCTTAGGAGGATGCGGCCACGGACTTGTTCCTGGGGGTTGCTTGAGTACCTAAATAAAGGTGAAATATGCATTTAGCACCCATGCAACTCTAGATTAAATGTATGAACCAGGGGGGAAACAAGCAAAAGAATAGCTCAGATTGAAGAACATGATTTACCTTCTCTGAAGTTAGTCTTGAACCTGCGGGGGACATTACGGAGGTACCTCATACGGCCAGTTCCTGTGGTTTTTCTTCGGATGGCCTTCTCACTCCAATTGTCTGAATTCACAAATAAATGAGAGCTCATCAATAACTTGAATGCACCAAGAAGTTTGAGTTTAATGAAAATATCATATCAACTAAGAAATTAACAAAACATCATAAATGATAAAAGTTTTAAGACAATTGCAAATGCGAACAAGCAAAGGCCATAACTTCAACGCAAATAATATGTGCTACAGATCAAGGTAGCTTCAGATGTCAATAGTTCACAGTTCTTAAGGAATCAATGATAAAAAGAAGAACAGCAGATCACGATAAATAAATAAACCCAGATGATAGATGAAACCAGTACCCAACAGCCCTCAAAATTTTTATGTCAGGACAATCATCATACACCATTTTACAAAATTCTAAATAAAGCATCCCTATCCCTATCCTTTCTGATCTCACATATAAGTATAACCAATCCAATCCTTTCGTAAAATAGACTTCTTATATGTGTAACCAATCTTCACATGAATTGCTATCAATCCAAGAAGTGCAACACTGATTCATTTACATGTAAATTGGGAAAATGCATTCATGGGCGAGTTGGATGGATATCTCATAATGGAATGGATCAATCCAAAATAAAAATAAAAAGAGTTTGTTAATTATTCCAGTTCTACATACTACACAGTCTCACAATGTATCAATCTCTGTTAAGAGGTAGATCATGGTTCTATCACCCACTACAGATATACAAAGTATAGTTTTCTCATTGCTATGTCCTAACTTGAATAAAAATCTAAAATCATAATTAGATCAGTAAAACAACAATTACAGGAAAGTCATTCTTAAGTTGTGTGTATTCCAACAACGATTGAATAAATAAGTGATATATGAACCAATTGTAAATTGAATAGAAGACAGAAATCTATTTCTAAAAAAATAAAATAAAAATAAAATAAGAGAAAAAAAGATTGTTTACATTTTCGGACGCGGCTTGCTGGATAAGCACAAGCAGCACAGCGACTCTTCTGGATATGGAAGCTTCTGCGTCCGCATCGTACACAGAGTGTGTGCGTCTTGTTCCTCCTCTTCCCAAAGCTTCCAGTTCCTTTGCCCTGCCAAAAGTTACAGAATTACACAAAATTAATCACAATTAACATTGCATCCAACACAAGTTATTGCAAGCGAAAATAGATTACCATTTTTTTAGTTGCAGAAACCCTAAAATGAAATGTTTGGGGCTAAAGCTTTTCGTGCTGCGCCGTTATGGCGTCAATCAAAGTAGGGTTTATTTGTTTGATTCAGGGAATTCTTATTTTTTTAATTTTTATTTTTTTGGTTTTGGATTATTAGTGGATTCGAACTTGGTGTGGACTCGGGTATGGATGCGGCGGTTTCATAAACTTCTGGGCCGTATTGGGCTTTACTGTTGGACTCTACATAACAGCTTAATTTTTTTTTCTTTAAAAATAAAAATAAAAGAACTTGAATCCTTTAAATGAAAATTCTATATTATGATTATTCATTACAATCCAATCCATCAGCGGGGATAGCTCAGTTGGGAGAGCGTCAGACTGAAGATCTGAAGGTCGCGTGTTCGATCCACGCTCACCGCATTTTAAGCTCTTTTTTTTTTTTTTTTCTTTTTTCTTAAAGTAGGGGGTACCTCAAACATGGGGGGAAAAAAATGAAAATATGGATGCAAGTTGCTGAGTTGTTACAGGTAAGAGAATGAATGCTTTTACTTTTTAGATCTCTTGAAATCTTGTTAGATTCATAGGCAACAGAGTCATAGATGGGTACCAAAAGGAAAAACCGATAGATATTTTATAGATTCGGTGTCGGGTGGACCTGATGCGAGCAATAGAAAGCATATAATAAGTAACTCGTGCGTACTTTTTATTTTGTGTTTTTCCTAAACCCAAAAGCATAACAATTAGTGTTCCCTACTTCGCTGGCGTTCTACATCATTAGATTTTACTTTAATTATCTCATTATTATGGACACATTATTTATTATAACTTCGTTTACCGTACTCTCGTTGAAAACTCATCGAAGTATCTGTATGGAAGGAGAAAAAGGTAAAACAAGAAAACGACTCTTATGTCTAGACGAAGCAAATGATGATTTTTTTTTTGGATTGCTCCACTGGTTTCCGGAGCTTCGCCCCGATTATGTCCAGTCCGATCCGGGTAGGTTACTTAGCATTGACAGGTGAGTCTTCCAGCGAGAATTTTATGCATATACAAGATCTCAAACTCGAGTCCTTGCTTAAGCGAACCCAAATACTTTATCACTTGAGCCAACCCCCGTTCGTTCAAATCAAACGATGATATTGCATACATACGATGAAACAGTATAAATTATTGGGCAGTGCTTGTACTTTGTATATTCTTCTAAAAATTATAGCACTTGCTTACCCTGCACATAAGATCACTCCTCATCGAATAAGTGGCAAGAGTCTGTACAAAAACATGTGACGATATGGTTCAATTGGTGGATTCTTATACATTACACACACAGGCACACTCCCAAAATAATGTAACTGCTTTTTTACATTAATAAATCTAGAAGGATATTTCAGAATAATTAGTACAACTACAAAATTTAAAAATAATTATATCAACAAATTGTCTTAACTCAGTTAAGGGAAAATTTCAGTTAGAAAAAAGTAATAAGAAAAATTAAGAGTGAAGGTTTTATATTTACTTACGTTGAATAAAAATATGTCAGTATCCTAAAATAATGAATATATATGATTTGTCAGCTTATAGTCAAATTAATGGGCTAACTCAGTTGCCTGTTTAACAGTAGGCTTATAACAAGGTTGGCATCCAAAAGCCACCATTTACCTCTAGTTAGATATCAAATTGTAAAAGATATAAACCAAACTTTTTCTACTACATTTTTAACTATTCACTCAGAACTCAAATTTGATACTACTAATTAAATTGGAACAACATTCTAATATTAATACATATGTTTTTTTGGTGATTTTATTATTTTATTTTATTTTTGAGATATTCTAATTAATTTATTACTTCGTGATTAGTTCGATTCGTGATAGTTTCATTATATTTTAATTGTTAACTTGTTAGCGTATTACCTGTTGTGCGAGCACATATCATTTATTGCCCCCAGGTAGCAAATTTTATTTTTTCGCAAGTCAATTTCACAAATAAAAATAACGGATAAGAAGACTGGAGGTTCATATAATGTTGATTTTCCTCGACAGACATTCCAAAGAAGACCAATCATTTGATGCAACCATAATCGCAGATTTGGACTGTTTGATGGATGACTTTTTTCGTTGACTAATAATTGCTTACCATCTGACTTGATGCTGACTCCTCCCAGCCACCATTTAATAAGAATATATATAATCTGATCCACCAATTAAATTTCAAAGAACAATAAATTAGGTATAAAAAATTTGGGAAAATAAGTGAATAAGAATGAAGAAGTCAGAAAATATATAATGGTCCATACAGGGAAATCCAGACGTATTCATCAATGCCGTTAGGATAATCAATAATTTGGAATCTTGGACCACATACAATTAAGGCCTTTTAATCCATCAAACAATATGGTCCTGAATCCTGATTAAACTGATTAGCTTCCATGTGCACCATATGTATGTACATTCTGAATTGCCCTATCAAGCTTGTGGATGCTACACACCTAGGCAGGACCACCTTAGTTGTTGGTTTTCCTAAGTGCAACACTTTAAGTAGATGCCCATTTTGTTCAAAATCCCATCTAAAGCAGTTGCTTCAAGGTGGTTGATAAAAACTGAGTGTTAGATAATAATATAAATCATTACGAAAGTCATCGTCCAATATCTTTAGGTTTTGGATTGAAATGATTCTTTATATGATATATATAAACTAATAAAAAAGTCTTCACCTAACACCTTAATATTTTGAATTGAGATGGTTCTTTACATTTAGTCTCGCACTTTGCTTTAATCAAAAATCTTGATATCAATTTAATGGAAAATCCTCAAGTGGGTATTAGGTTATTTCTTAAAGGATCTTTTGTTTTCTTTGCTAATTCATGGGGTGGGTATAGGCAGTGGCGGATCTAGAAAAATTTGTTTATGTCCGCACATTTAGTGACGGGGGTTCGGAGGCAGTGCTCCCGAATTTTTTTTTTTGTAAAGAAAATTTAAATTAACGCTTGAACCCGCTCATAATCTAGTTGCTTCCATAACAAGGTGCAGACAATAGTTTAACCACTTATTTCTTTCTTAAATCTTACCAATCCTCCAAAACAAATATGAGAATATATTCCAGTATATTCATACATCATCATTCTATCTTATAGTGGTGAATAAAAAAGTCAACACTACCTGTACAGAAAGTAAGCAAAATCATAGCGAACGCCTCGTCTCTAGATATTAACTTATTTTAGAATGTCAGACCTGCAATCAATCCTCTCTTTTTAAAAAAATGAAAAAGGAAACAAAGGATGAAAAGAGCATGAGAATGGGTACGTGAGGAGGGAGGAAGAATAAGTTTTCTCTGTAATCAATTTGCGTTGCTACGTTATTTTAATCATCTCCGTACGTTGCTAACTAATATAAGAATAAATATCATTTTTGGTCCCTAATAAAAAATTCGGTCCCCACTTTAGTCCATTATAAAAAAATTAGTCACCTGATCCCTATGAAATTCAAAGTGGACCCATTTTGGTCTTTTTGAGGGACTAATGTAGGTCTTTTTTGAATTTATGAGGGACATTTTATTTAAATTGATCCACTTTAAATTTTTTAAGGACCTCGAGACTAATTTTTTTTTGTAAGGAACTAAAATGGGAACCATATTTTTTGTTAGGAACTTAAAAAGATATTTACTTCTAATATAAATATATTAAACCAAGAGATAAATAAATACCTATAATAAAAAATAAAAATAAAAACTAAAATGAAAATTTTTATGCCCGCAAGTGGGTCGGCCAGTGGTTATAGGAGTACTCGTATATCTTTTGGAAGGTAGATTAGGCCAAGTAATCTTAATTGAAAGACCGTATGCTTTCGGTGAAAGTTGTTCTTGTAGTAGCATGAAGAAGACATTGACGAGGACAAATGGGTGAGGTACGTATAGATTCTGCAACTTCTCTATGCCGATTGTTGATTTGGTTTATGCTAATTAATTATTGCACAACAAAGCATAAGATAGTCCAAATCAATAGTTTATACTACTTGATTCTACACAACCAATCATAACACTTAACTGCATAGTTGGGTTTTGTCAGTTTGAAAGGGATTCAAACTTAATTGTCAGATAAAATTTGAAATAAAATAAATCTCAAAAACTGACCCGACCTATAATTAAAATCTAGTGAGCCTCAAGCCCGTGAATGTTCAATTTCAAGTTATTTGAAGACAATTCAATTTTATAAAGGGAACGGAGATACAAAAGATTGAATTTAAAACAATACAAGAGACACACTAATGAAATCATCACCATCAACGAAAAAGGAATTCGATTAATACAAGTTATTTTTAAATATGATTATAAGCTCATGTTAAAACTTGTGTTTGTGTCATGTTTCAAACTTAAAATAATCTTTATTTTTTCTAAACTTTTTTGTACTGAATTAATTAAAGGTATTAAAACATGGGATAGGTTATTGTGCCTACTCCCCTTTTGCCTACTTTTACCTACCCCTCTCAACATCGTTGGATTACAATCTCATCTAACGGTTCAGATTCAAAAGTTAAATAAGACCCTTTTACTCTTTTTCTCTCTCTCTCTAACTCCACTCTTCTTCCCCCCCCCCCCCTCTCTCTGTCTCCACCCTTATTCTCTCCTCCCTTGCTTGCGATGAAGAAAACGTACTTGCAAATATCTCTCCCCACTGGAAACCAGATACGTTGCTAAGAAACAAAATCCATGGTAGAATTCATGCCTTAACATCCACAGATTAAAAAAAAAAAAAACCAAAATATTAAAAAGAACTACGATGCAAGCAAGAACAAATAATACGACATCATCTTTTTCTTTGTTAAAAAAACCAGGAATGACAAATATTATTAAAGATTCGAAAGATGCAAACACCAAAGTATTCGTGCATAAACTCAAAATTGAGTATCCAATATTATCATCCTCGAAGAAAAGAAGAAGAAAATACAAATTTCTACAGTACTCTGCTTTTGTTACCCTTAGAAGAAAATAAGCCATAATTTAGGGCGTTGAATAATTAGGGTTGTTTGTGTTGAAACAAAGGTAAATAAAACCAGATCGAATCGTTTAACACTACGTTTGTTAGATCACATTTGGAATGAGAGAGGGAGAGTCTATT